GGTAGGGGGGTCCCGTGCTTACGGTAGCTAGGTACCTTCTCAGGCCAAAACTCTCTGGCGGTACCTATCTTAGTACGGTACCCCTTACGGTAGGGGGGTCCCGTCCATACGGTAGGGGGGTCCCGTGCGTACGGTACCTAGGTACCTTATGACCATTTTGACAATTTTTTTATTTTTGTCCAAATCATTTCCAATTTTGTTTAAAACCTTTTGGATGTTTGAAAATGATTATAAAAGGGTTTTAAACATGTTTTGTGAGTGTTTTTGAGCTTGTGAATATAGGTATATAAAATCATATCCTTACATTGGTTTCTACCTATATTCTACGCTAGTTTAGTGTTTCGACTTCATTCTTGAGTACCGAATCTTAATGGATTCTTGTTTTTCCTGAAACACTTAAACAAACGTTAAGCTCTTATATTGTTTGTTAACATCAAAACATGAGGCTTAGCAAACCAAGGCTAACAGAGGGGCCCGGAAGAGGGTATGCATGCAAGAGGGCTGGACCTGGAAGAGGCTTCGAACCGTACTTACACGGGCCCATGAGGTTTGACCAGTATCGGGGAATCAGCCAGTACCGTCAAACTGATTGGGGACTAAAAGATGCCCATTAAAAGAAATAGAAGGGGATCGTCCATCGTGGCGCATCATGTTTCCCCCTTCTCAGGGAAGACTTGAACGGGGGGTGAGCTAAGGCCTTCCTGGGATAGTAGAAATTAAAGGGCCATTAAAAGACTTAATCACCCGGAAGAGGGGGCCCTGGAAGAAGGGTGCATTTGAACCTTGGAGAGGGTTCGAAACCATTCGACATGGTTAAATCTCCAGTATTCTTACCGGTTAAGGATACTTCAAGAATTACTAGGTTACAGATGTTTCCATCTACAACCTATCGGTCAAAAAAAAAGGAATACCCCGGTCGGGTATGGGCACAACAGAACTTCGAAAGTTCCACAAGGCAAGGCAGATGACCGGTCAGACCATGGAGTGGAACCCACCGGTCAAACTGTACTTTATAAAAGAATTTGTGAAGCTATCCAAAAAGCGAAAATTAAAGTTTAACCGGTCAAAGTTACTCGGGCTGATCCTTGAGATGAAGTGATCAGAAAGAACTTTGAAGTTCTACCGGTCGAAATCAATTAACAAGCAAGCAGATATGCAAGATTAACCGGGTAGGAAAACAAACATGGCATTTAAAGAAGGAAATGTTAAATGTTTACAAGTATGCCGGGCATACCCAGGGAAATTTCTGCTCAAAGTTTTACAAAATTAACCGGGCGCAGCCGGGGAGATTAGTCAAGGGGGAAGGGGGGAGTCGGCTCTTCTTCCGGGATTGAGGCCAGGCCGTATGATGCAGCGGTGAAGTCCGGATCTCTTCTGAGCAGTACCCGGTGAGAGGCGATCCGGTCCTTCTTTTGACCGCTCTTGAATCCGAAGGATCCAATCGCGGTAATCATCCTCCTTCCTTCAGGCTCCCGGTATAGAAGCGTGAAGGACTCCATCGTGGTCTCTGGAGTCGCCGTCATCACCCGGGCAGCTTCAGCTTTGTTCTCTTCCACCTAGGCAGCTGCGCGCCCGGGGAAGGTTTCTTCCTTCTCCGCCATCTCCCTCTTCGCTTAAAACACCTCGTCCATCAGCCGGCCATTCTCCTCCTTGAGGTGAGAGATCTCCGCCCTCATCGACCCAGTCAGCCCGGATAGTCTGGTCAGCTCATCAGCTTGGCTCTTCAGGATGAGAGCCATCTCCTGCTTCTCCTTCTTCAGCCGGGCAAACTCTGAAGGAGAGCCTAAACCAAGCCGGTCAGCTGTGAGGGGTCCAATCTCCCCCGCCTGCACAAAAGGAAAAATAGCCCGGTAAGATTTTCGAACAGTTTAACAAACAGATCAAGACCGGGATAGCAGCAGAACTTACTTCCTTCAGCCTCAGCCCCAGATTGATGAAGGCCTCTTCGATGGTCTGGCCGGCCGGCTCAGGATCTGACCTTGCCCTCTTCTTGGCGTAAGAAGGGTGCGTGGTGGCCACCTTCTTCGTCCGATGGCCGGTCTTTTCCTTTTCCTTCCCCTTAGACCGGTTGTCTTGGGGCTCATCTTCGTCAAGGATTTTCACGGTCTCTGGATTGACCGGGAAGGTTCTGGCAGTGTTGGCTTGGGAGCCCCCGGTCTCTCTCGCTGGTTGGTCGTCGGGGATGGCGAACTCCTCGAACTCCATATCTGCAAGAGAAGCTAAAATCGTTAAGTACAAGAAGAGACACCGGTCAAAGCGCCAATCACAAGGAAAACATATATATATATATATATATATATATATATATATATATATATATATATATATATATATATATATATATATATATATATATATATATATATAACTTGGGTGGTTCTGGCCCTCAGCCTCTGCAGTGTTGCCCGGGGAGGGTACCCCGCGCCCCGCTACTTCCTGGGCCTGGGAGGTACCCTCACCACCCGACTCTACCCTCCAAACCCAGCTTCCTTGATGGAAGATCCTCCCGGTTAGAGGATCCCCGCGCATGAGGACCTCAAGATTCGCTTCCAAGTAAGGGGAGGAAGCCGGTGCAGCGTACCCTTGGTCGAGCAGATGGTCGTTCCAGTTCAGACCGGCCAAAGGAGTGACAAAGGGGGGAAACTTGATGAAAACAAATTTTTCCTTCCATCCCCGGTTACTCTGGGGGGGACTTCGGAAATGAACTTCCTACCGGTACGGGCTTTGAAGAATACAAAACCTTCGCAGCCAGTCCCGCTCGGTAGGACTTCAAAGCAAAAAAGGAAAAGACGCAAGGAGGGGAAGATTTTTAGATGAGTACAGATATTTACAAAGGAATGGAGATACCAGTGGGCGTTAGGAGTTATTTGGCCGGGCAAAATCCTAAACGCGTGGCATACTTCGGTTAGGAGGGGGCGAAGGGGAAAAACTATGCCCGCATCCAGTGATATG